CAACAACAGGCCTTTGAACAAATCAAACAAGAAATCGAACGTGCAGTATCCCTTGGGCCAGTGTGAATAGGACATTAAAAATGTGCCCTATACTGCAGCTGGGGATAATGGCCCTACCTGGAATTTGTGGCAGAAAGTACCAGGGGAGACTCAAGGTTGACCCCTAGGATTTTGGAGTCAAGGATACAAAGGCTCCTAGGCCAACTATACTCTAACAGAAAAACAAATATTAGCAGCATATGAGGGAGTTAGAGCTGCTTCAGAAGTGCTTGGTACTGAAGCACAGCTCCTCCTGGCACCATGATTACCGGTACTGGGCCGGACGTTCAAGGGTAAGTTGCCTTCTACTTATCATGTCACTGATGCTACCTGGCATAAATGGATCACATTAATCACACATTGGGCCCAGATAGGAAATGCCAGTCATCCTGGAATCTTAGAAGTGATTACTGATTGGCCAGAAGGTAAAGACTTTATAATGCCACCAGAAGAAGTGGTAACACGTGCTGCAGAAGCCCCACCGTATAATCAACTACCAGATAAAGAAAAGCAATATGCCGTATTTACTGACGGATCCTGCTGCCTTGTAGGGAATTGTCGGAAGTGGAAGGCTGCTGTGTGGAGTCCCACAAGATGAGTCGCAGAAGTAGCTGAGGCAGGTGCATCAAGTCAGTTTGCTGCGGTAAAAGCCATCCAGCAGACCTTAGACATTGCTGAGCAAGAAAAGTGGCCAGTACTCTACCTCTATACTGACTCATAGATGGCAGTGAATGCCTTGTGGGGGTGGTTGACACAGTGGAAGTGGAATAACTGGCAGCACAGAGGTAAACCGATTTGAGCTGCTGCACTGTGGCAAGATATTGCTGCCCAGCTGGAGAAACTGGCTATAAAGATACACTATGTAGACGCTCATATGCTTAAAAGTCAGGCCTCTGAGGAACATCAAAAGAACGATGAAGTGGATCAGGCTGCAAAAGTTTTCCAAACACACAACAGACTGGGAACGTAAAGGTGAACTGTTCTTAGCTCAGTGGGCCCATGACACCTCAGGTCATCAAGGAAGAGATGCAACATACAAGTGGGCTCGTGACCAAGGGGTGGATCTAACTATGGATTCTATTGCAGGTTATCAATGACTGTGAAACATGTACTGCAATCAAGCAAGCTAAATGGTTGAAACCTTTGTAGTATGAAGGATCATGGTCAACGTATAATATGGAGAGGCCTGGCAGATTGATTATATCACACTCCCTCAAACCTGCCAGGGTGTTATGTGCTCACAGTGGTAGAAGCAACCACTGGATGGCTGGAAACACACCCTGTACATCATGCCACTGCCTGGAACACTATTCCAGGCCTTGAAAAGCAAATCCTGTGGCGGCATGGTACTCTGGAAAGAACTGAGTTGGACAATGGGACTCATTTCAAAAACAGTCTTATAGACAACTGGGCTAAGGAACATGATATTGAGTGGGTACATCATATTCCCTATCATGCACCAGCCTCCGGAAAAATTGAACAATACAATGGGCTATTAAAAGCTGTTCTGAAAGTAATAGGTGGTGGAATGTTTAAAAATTGGGACAAGCATTTAGTGCAAGTCACCTGGTTAGTTAACACCAGAGGATCTATCAATCAAGCTGGTCCTGCCCAATCTGACCATTTACATACAGTAGAAGGGGATAAAGTCCCTGTGGTGCGTGAAAGGAATTTGTTGGGAAAAACTGTGTGGGTATTTCCTGCTTCAGGCAAAGGCAAACCCATTTGTGGGGTTGCTTTCACTTGAGGAGCTGGATATACTTGGTGGATAATGATGAAAGATGGTGAAATCCAATGTGTACCCCAAGGGAATTTAACTCTAGGTGAGAACACTTGATGCTGAGCTGTATGATGCTGATTATTATGTAAGACAAACAGTGTTCAAGAAGTGTCTTTCAAGATTTTCCACCTGAACATGAGGAAAAACTTCTTTACTTTGATGGTGACAGAGCACTGGAACAGGCTGCCCAGGGAGGTTGTGGACTCTTCTTCCCTGGAGATAATCAAAACCTGCCTGGATGCAGTCCTGTGTGACCTGCTGTAGATGAACCTGCTTTAGCAGGTGGGTTGGACTAGATGATCTCCAGAGGTCCCTTCCAACTGCTACCATTCCGTGATTCTGTGAGTGCGGATGACTGGAGCTAGCCTCATCTAGTGACATCCAACAACTTCCTTGAGATGGACCTGCAGCCCGTGGGCACAAACCACAATTAATTTCACACCATCTTTCCTGCCCTGAGAGAGTGCTATAATAGATGGAATCCACAGTTCTGGAATGAATGAATTCAATAAACCTTTTGGAGAAATAACCCATCAACAACAGTCTGTCTGTACCTGTCTGTACATATACATATATGTATTGAAAAATGGGAAAGAATAGTAGTGACGTGGGCATGATGTAAGTGGTATGGGCTTAGGAGTAGAATGCTGTCCTGGTTTGGCTGGGATAGAATCACAGGCCAGCTGCACTGGGCAGGCTGTTAACAGTTTTGAGTCAGCCAGGGCAGCTGGCCCAAGTTAGCTACAGGGGTAGCCCATACCATAATGCCATGGTCATTATAAAAGGGGAAGGTTTGGTGAGGGAAGGGAGCTTCTATATGGTTCTTACTGGGGTTTCACCCTGCTCCTGAGGACTGCTCTGCTGTTGAGTATGACTGCTGCATATTCATTTGGCTGAGTATAACTATGTATGCCTTTGTTGGTATTAGTGCTGGTTCATTAAATCTATTTTCACTTCAGCCCATGGGTCTCCTCTCCTTTTCCTGATTTCCCTTCCTGGCTGGTGAGGGGTCATCGGGTGACAGAGCAACTGTTATAGTTTAGCCCCTGGTAGAGGCTAAACGTATGACACCTTCCAACTGAAATATACTATTTTAAGCAGAAAAAAAATGTAAAATACCGTTCAGAAGATTAGATTTAGTTCTGTTCGTAACAGCTCTGCATTAAAGTTCTACTGCTCCAATAATTAAACCAGTGTAATTACTTGTTCTATACTAATAAGTATATCTACGTTTAAAATAAAAACATTGACATACATGCTGGTATGTCCTATTTTAGAAAAATCACCTTGGAATTTTATCTCGTGCTCACAAACATCAAGTGAGACAAAGTAGTTGCTCAGAGGAATTGAATGTAAATACTATCATTTGTAACACAGAATGGAGTTATGAAGACTAATGAATGAAACAAAGCCTGCCCAGCTGACAGCTTGCAAGATACATCTGGCCTCCAGGACAATTTTCCACTATTGTATAAATTTATACACCTCATCTGACAACTTGCCTTAGCGTAAGTGGGACTGATGTCATCCACTCCCAATTGCCAAATTGAAAATCTTGCATTAGATTCACAACTTGTTTATTCTTACCAATTACGGAGGCCAAGGCATACTTCTGACCCTATAAATCCTTGTGTAATACCCATGTCTAAGCAGAGGACATGAAAGTAAGCAAAGTGCTGGATAAAAAACGCCATGATCTACAGAAAAAAATATGCATACACAGCACTTTGAGGAAGCAAGCATAGAATAGTTGCCTCCCACATTAACTTTAATGGAACTACAGCAAATTAGCATCAGTGGGGACACATCAGAAAATATCAACCACAGACCAATCCAGCAGTCTTGGAAAGTTTATAGTCTCATTTTTAGCTCTTGCTGAAGCTGTCCCATGTTCACCTGTGCTATTTAGGATTATATTCTAACTTACCACTGCTGTGTAGACATACCTAAGTCTCACTTGCATGTGTAGTGAACGTGATAACTGGACTGCTGCCCACCAATTTTCCTTGCAATTGTTTGTATGCATTGTATGCAGGGTACAAGGCAAGCACGGATGTCATTCTAACATGTCCTTGGTATGCCAGCTACTGATCCAATATTTTCTGTAATTATATTGGAAAGAGCTACAAAATATGTTGGATTTTAATTCTAAGGAAAAAAATCATCATAGTTATGACTTCAAATTTATTTAAATATAGTTTCTAAATAATTTGGATGATTATAAATGCCAAGTGTGGAAAACAAGTGGATTCCTTTAACAATTTTTTTTAAAGTTGTTAGCCTGTGTGTTTCATCCTACAAGCCCAACTGACACAAGTAGTCTTAGTAAAGTCTGTCATATGACAACAGGAATGACTGACTAATAACATAGGTAAATCTTGCACCTTAAATTGGAGGATGTCTTTCATCCTTCTGAATGTTAAACAACATTATTAATACTTGAAATTGCTATTAAACCTTTTATCTATATTAGCAAGGACTTGTAGCTTTTAAAAACAAATGGTTCTTTTCCCAACTATGTGACTTGGAGATAGTATCCTGTTTGTTTAATTCTGTGGATTTCTTCCATCTATGCCTCCTTTATCTTTAAGGTTTTGTTTCCTTGGTTTTGCTAAAAGCTTTATTTCATAACACACTTCAAGTGTTATACAAAAAAAAAACTTCCAACATCAGTGTGCATATCATACTTTATTTTATTTAAATAAGTTACAAGACCCCAACTTACTTTCCCATTTAACAGAAGACATAGGCTCATTTTTTACTCCACCTTGCCATTTCAGTTTTATATAATGTGATATACTGTATCCACTCATTTTTTTCTGTATTTACTTTTAAATATGAGAATAAAAATGCAGTTACTGCAGAAAAGCATTACCTGCTGTACTACTTGTAGCACAAAGAGAAGCACAGCAGGTACAGGTAGCTTTATGCTTATAAAGTGACTGTACATGAAGATCCTCAGGGTCACTGTATCTTCAAGACTGTTGTCTTCCTGAAGTCTTCTCGACACTTGTGAATAATAATAAACCAACTGCTGTTTTGTAAGCTGTGCAACAAAATAAAGCTTGCTGAACACAATAAGAAGGATTGATTCTGAGAGATTCTTTTAAAATGAAGTAGAATGATAGCTCAGACAACCTGCTGTCTGCCTTGATATGCCTGCAGCTTCTTGGTCACTTCATCTAGTAGTCAGTTGTTAAGGACAATAAAATAGGTGGCTACAAGGTTTGTTACATTTATAATCTTTCTCATTGCTGCATTTCCAACAAACAGTCTGTTTTCTAAATGAGGTCAATACATGCTTGAAACAGAGATTTCAAAACATTTTAGAGATCTGTCAAGGTCTGGCAATTTCCCAAACGATCTCAACAACCCTAACTTCTTGGAAGGAGTCGGACCAAGTGACATTCAGGGCAGGTGACTGCCTCTGCTGCTTTTTCCAGGTTGTCTTGAAAGGATGCTAGGGATACAAAATGCCCACCAAAGAACAACTTTGAAAGAAAGCCTCAGCTCTTTGTAGGAAAATATATTCCTAACTTCAAAACACCATGTTTTCTTGCTTAACATTAGCTCTTTGGGGCAGAAAGATTGCTCGCTGAAGGACATGCTACTATTGAGATGATATTACAGGTTTCGTTATCTTGGTGTTCAGTTTTAACTAATTAGATACCCTGGAATTATATATTGTAATCCAAGGAAAATCAGTCGTCCCTTCACCTTTCCCAGACAGATAAACTAAACTCAAGCACACTGCAGGAAGAGGGATTTGCAATTAGATCTTATAAAAATAACTTGGAATTTATTCAAGAACTGGGAAAGTGTTGTGTCCTTGGCAGAAGTTTTCATTTGGCTTTCAGAAACTTCGGCAAACTGAAAAATTCATTTATCCGTATAAATGATAAGTTCACATATAAAACTTACTAGTTTGCTTTCCTTCTTTGATTAATCCTAAATAGCCCACTCTTCCTTGATTTTGAAGCCCCAGGGATCAGGATGGCAGCCACAGACACAGTGCTCCTCTAAATTCATTCCTATTTGAACAAGAGCACCTTTTACAGAAAAAAAGCATGCAGTCTCAAAAATTTCCAGTGATGCAAGTCAACCACTCTCACTTCTAAAAATTGTGCCTTATGTTGAATTACAGCTTGCCCAACTTGAACTTCCACTTATTAGTTCCTGCCATGCCATCTGAGGACATTTGTTGTAGCATTCAGGTTTGCTGTGCTACCACAAAGTTCACCACTTTCTCTTTTTTTTTTTTTTTTCTTTCCCACATATTTGTGAAATGTCTATCTGGGGGCTGACCACATTTCACTGCTACAGATGCAGCACTGCAGCAAATTAAGCCAGCAAATTCCAGAGCAAGATAGCTGGCACCCACCAGCCTGCACCTCGGGTGTCCCATGGACCCGAGGCTTGCCCAGTGCCTCCAGCCTTGGCACTGTCCCTTGCAGCTCTCCCATTCTCATATATCCCAGCAGCTGGATATTAATAGCCCAGCACATTTTCACAGAAAAGAAAGTGGAACATGAAAATTGCTTGGGACAGTACCTGCCAGCAGAGGTGGGATGTAGAGGAATACTGCAGCTAATGGGACTGTTGTCACACTCCCTGTGAAATTGTCTTGAAAATTTGGGGACACAATAGGAGGGCTCAAAACTGAGCATTTGCTATTACTGTAAAGGTCATCTGGAAGAATTTTGAACAGAGCAGTGCTTGATGTTCAACACAGCATATATATTCTAGGGGATGTGGGCACATGAGTTTTACCTGCGTCTTGATACTAGAGCCCTTCAACAAAATGTGAAAACATAGTGGTATTTGCAACAACCAAGGTTTTGCTCCATAACATTACTAAAATCACCATGAAAATACTGTTTTGAGAGACATTTCTTCCCTGGCTTACATCAAAACAGCTACCTCTAAAATAGCAGTAAAGAGCTGAATGCAGAACATGTAAGAAAAAGGATATATTTTGTGGACAGAGCTTCAAGTCGTGAGGTGACAGAGTCCTGCAGGGCAGCTATGGCTTTACACTCACAGGACTCTTCAGTTGTTACGAGACTGCTTGTTATGGCTCCTGAGAGAGAAAACAACATTTAGAATATTTATGACAATTATCAAACATTTAAATCCCAGGAAACCACTTGATTCTGCAATGGGGGTTGAACTCCTGCTGTGAGACTACAGCAAGCACTGCGACCCAGGGCATTTGGGAAGGGGGGATGGCAGTGAACAGAGGCCAGTGTGTAGCCAGAGACACAAGCGTCATAGTCCAGAAACAGGACAGGCAAGAGAGAGCTTGACTCTAACCGAGGAGGCGGCAGAGCAGGGAGTTCTTCACCTGCCTACCTGGACCCTCTGCACTCTTTAAATTAGATCACTATTGAGCAAAATATAGAGAGGCCTGGATGCAGGGACCAACCAGCCTCCCCCATCAAGTAATTGCTAGACTAAAGTGAATCTTTCCTTCACCTGTCATCTCTCCCTTTCATCCAAAATATCCCCCATCCCAAAAGGCAGGTCACCCTGGGAAGTACAATGAGTGTGTTCAGTTGATGCAGACTGAGAAGAACCTGCAGTCCAGGTCTCCATCTTGCAAGTAATACTTTGACCATCAGACTACCCTCACAGGAAGGCATCGATGTAAACAGAATCTATTCAATTAGCTGTATTTAAGGCCATAACTAACTCGCTGGGCTTCTCTTCAGAAGAATGATAGAATCATAAAATGGTTTGGGTTGGAAGGGAACTTTAAAGGTCACCTAGTCCACCCCCCCTGCCAGGAGCCAGAACATCTTTTACTAGTCCAGGTTGCTCAAAGCCCCATTCAACCTGGCCTTGAACACATCCAGGGAGGTGGCAGCCACAGCTTCTCTGGGCAACCTGTTCCAGTGTTTCACCACCCTCACAGTAAAGGATTTCTTCCTCATATCTAAATAGAATCTAAATCTATCTATCTATACAAAAGCAAAGTTGCTGCCCTGTCAAAGCTGGATTGTAATGGTATTTGGCGTACCCATCGCTCTGCAACACAGCACTTCCGAGAATGTATTAGTTCAAAGTTAAGCCTCCAGGAGTTTTGCAAGCCAAGTAAGAAGGCACGTAGCGATTTTAGGCACATGAAGAGTCAGTCAGTGTCAGAAATTGGTCAGTTTGCATGAGTTCTAAGATGCGGGTAGAATTTAGATACCTAAGTCTTAGCTTGGGAAGGAATTAGAAGAATTGAATTTACAGATTGGTAAATAATACAGAAGTGAAAGCAGGAACACAGGTATTAATTTTAAATACTAAGCAACAGAGGTTCACCTAAATCATCAATGTGTATCACCCCAGAAGTACTCTTGGTTTGTAACATTGCAATATGCATGCATAGAGCGTATCAATTTTGATTCAAGAGGTGTGAACACAAGTACATTCCAATGTCACAGGGATATGGATGGAGGGAACAACAACATAAGCCCAAATTAATTTAAAATCTAGTAGAAAGGCACAGCAATATTAATGGAAGAGCCAGTTAGTATGACAGAGAAGTCATCGCTCTCTTAAGAAAGAGAAAGAAAGCACTGACATACTCCACAGTGGTTCCACTGAATCTGTTCCTGTCTCGCCCTCAGTCTTCCAGACTTATAGGGGACTAGCCCCAGCTGTCCTCAAGAACTCCTTTTTCTCCATAATCCACCACAAAACCAGGTATGATCACAAAGAGCTCAGAAAGATGATAATTTCATTGTGGTATAATAACATCAAGTATCAGCTGATGGCTGTGAGTTCCTAGCTACATGAAAGGCAATTTAAACTCACCTACTCCGTAAAGAAAATAGGAGTTAAGGCAAGTTGCACCACTTGCTGCAGGCTGAGAACAAACAATCAACAGCTACTGAGGCACAGCTACTGCAGTGAGATTACTGTCTACATCTGAGACCAGAATAATAAGGTTCCAAAGGCAAAGCCTTCTTAAAAGAGGGCCTACAATTATGAAATACCCTTTCGACATGTTATCAAGAGGTATTACTTGTATGTAATACCTGTCTGTACATGTTTTTTACATCACTTGCAAAGGCAATGACAGCAGATTATTCAATTATTTTTTCTGTAGATACATAAATGCATAGCTGGTCAATGCCAAACAAATTATGTGAGCATTATAACAGTAAAACAATAGAAATATTATACCCGGATACAATTTCTCTTTTTTTCTGAATTGTTTTGGTTTCTTTTTTTTTTTTTTTTATCAATCATGCTGTTGACACTTCCATTTTGCAGGCAAACTGCAAAACCTATGAACAGATTCATTCCTAGCAGTGCAGAAATTCATTTGCCTTAGAGCCAATGTTGAAATTGGTGTCTCCTTGATTCCACTGAACCTGTATTTGTTCAGCTCCCTTCTTTGGAACATTCCACTGGCTTTATGGTCAACGTACAAAGAAGAACTGTTCAAGAGTCAGCTGGAAGAAAGCCAGTTCAAAATATCACACCAACATGGTTGGTTTCCAACAACTGCCAGTTATTTTTTTTATGTTTCCGTTTAAATTCTCCAATGACAGATACAGATCCTCCTTCGATTATGTCTTTTTTAACAAAATTACTTTTCCAACTAACTTTGGCAACTGCCCAAGGGTACCCTGAAGTCTTCTATAGTCCTTCTGTGAAATTTAGAGTCTTCTAGTATTTGATATTCAAAAATCTTGAACACTGACGTTGCTACTGGGATGCCCAACAAGTCATACAAAACATACTAGAGCTGTGTTTTTACACTGTATTTATGTTGAAGTCCAGACCTACAAAAAATTACTATTTTTGCAGATGGTGTTTGGCTATGTCCGCTATTTTATAACTTTGCTCTTACATAGGGTCCTTAGCCACTTGGTGTAATGGCAAGTTATTCCTGCTCTGAAACAGAGATCAGACTAGGTACCTCTTGAGGTCCCTTTCAACCCAACTTTACTTATGATTCTACACCAAATGGTCGAGAGGTTCTGCCAACAGCGGATGCCAGTGTTGCCCATCTGAAGGGAAAACAGTTGGTGAGTTAATGCCTGCCCCACACAGCTTGGAGGAGTGGATAAGAACATGCGGTTTAGCGTTGCAGTAGTTCTTCTGACACCCGTTCTGTTCCCCTCTGGGCCCCCACCATCCTCTGAATGCTGGTACACAATGGAGTGCCACGCCCCACAGACATATGCCCCAGAATCCTGCTTTGCCAATCCCCCCAATTATTCCCATTTCATAAGGAAATGCAGATTAGAACAGATTTTTTTTTTTTTTTTAAATACAGTGATGCCCTTAAATGTGTGGTGATAGGTAAGAGTCAACTGTGGCTTTAAATACAATAACTGCTATAACTAAACAAGAAGGATCAAACTAGCTCAAAACATTAGTGGAAACAGGCAGAAAAGAATGAAAAGGGATTATACTTTCAGGGAGTTTGTGAGCTCATAGAATGTTTCTCAAACAGATTAAAAGGATTTAACACACTAAAGAGAGGTTCTTCAATAAATATATTCAGAAAAAACTCCATTGAATTATTACTTGAGCATGTTTTCTCATCTGGATTTAAGGTAAAGCCTTCATAGCAGTCACAGGTGTACGATCCACCATTACGCACACAGACCTGCTCGCAGTCGTGGGTTCCTGGCGCACATACATCAGTTCCTACAGAATGCATTTGGGAGAAACAGTTATCCAAAAACACGGTAACATTTTCTAACGCTTCCCAATGGCAATGCTGGGAGCCTATCCTAGATGAATCTTACCAGGAACTACTGAGGTGTGTAACAGATCTTGCCTTGGAGCAGCGAGACGAACTAATTGCCGTACTGGGGTCTCCCTCAGTCCTTACTTCGTATGGTCTATGCTCACTCTGACCACAGCTGCCTAACCCCACCAGATGTGAAGTGACAGATCACCTCCAAAGGCATACTAGGAAAAGCTTCCAGCACACAATAACTTTACAGTAAGGAGACCAGGAAGGAAAGAAACACTTCTAAAATTACTTCATTTTTACTGTCACACAAGTCACTGAGAAGCTAAAGAAAGTAACAGCCATAGGAAATTCAGCCTGGAGGGGAGGACATCACCTCAAGCCGTCTGGTACGCAGTTTCCACAGTACTGCGAAGTGTGTGACACTGCAACTAACCCCAGCGCTTCTCTCCAATTACTTCTCAGTTCTGGGTTTGCTGAATGTTGCATAGTTTTTTAAAATACAACCTTAGTTACAAGATTATAAAGAAAGACCAAATGGTAAGCAGTTTGTAGCACGTTGCATATGAAGTGCTTTATATCTCTAAATATTGCTCAAAGTGGAAAAGACAGAATAACATAGAACTGTCTTATAACACTTGAATGCGTGTGTAAGTTTCTCAAATCCAAACACATCTGCCTGCTAATGAGAGCTAATTCTCGCTAATTCACGTACTTAGCTGGGGAGGGTACAGAGGGAGAGGGAACAGCAATCTGCTCTTACTTGAGCAAGTCTTCTTGTCTGCATTCAGGGTGTAGCCTTGGTAGCAGTCGCAGGTATAGAACAGATCATCCCTCACGCAGACCTGCTCACAGTCATGCCTTCCACGTGCACACATGTCGACAGCTGAGGAAGACATTTGAGAAGAGAAGAATACTAATCATTGCCCAAACTTCAGTTTAGTTGATGTTAGTAATTCCCATTTGCAAACATGTCTTCATTTGGATTCAAACCAGGACGTTTTTGTTGCATATCAGCATGCCATTAGCCATGGTAAGGTATACAGAGTGTGTTTTCATCTGGCTATCAACATCACAAAATTAGTACGATTTTTGGAACATTGGCAACACTTTTTTGTAGTTATGATTGCAAAAGGAACTGAAGTGACCCAGTTAGACAAAATAATTACCCAAAGGAATTTCAAAGAACAAATATCTGCATTTTAAGAGAGTATTTGGCATTATTTCAGTTCTAATTGAACTGGATAAGACACTGTTCTATGGAGTGAAAAGACCATAAACAGAAGAGTATACATGGCTGCAAAAAAAAGAAAAAGAGAGATGTGGCACTCGCTGCCAGTTATGAAGTGGGCACTTGATGTGTGAGGCTGATGTTTTCTGCCAAACTTAACACGTCAACTCTGAAAGGCCAAGCTGAGAAGGAGTTCCTATATTTGGATATCTTTGCACTAAGGAGGTTCAGCAAGGCACAAGCAAAGAAAGAAAGAGAGACAAAGAAAGAGAGAAAGAGAAAGAAAGAGAGAAAGAAAAAGAAAGAAAGAAAAGACCCCCTCCTGGACCTAGACTACTTTTACTGTATCACAAAAACCTGGATGGTTGAGAAATCCTTAGCAGCCTATTCCAAATTGAGACTCAAAAGAGCAAAAAAGCAAGCACGTTAGGGAAATAATCTGAAATTTGACTACGCAGGGGAAGAACAAGTGTTATTAAGGGAGGTTCAGGACCGGACTCCCAAAGGGTATGCCTAACTAAACTCACATTCCCTCACAGATGTTTATCGTGTCTATATAATCCCAGGTGAGAGTTAATCTTAGGAACTACATTTACAAAATCAGCTCCTAAACTAGGCAGGAAGAAATACTGAGGCCCTTTGCCTTCGCCTCTTTGAGATGCGAGACATATGACTTAATTGGAGAGATTTGCCTAGGAACCTCGGGGAATTGGAAGCCTGGCTTCAGCACTTTGTCACACAAAATGTCGTAAGGAAAGGGATTATGATGGAAGTTGAAAAAAGGACTTTGCATAAATAAATCATCAGTGAGACATCCAAAGAAAAGAAGAATGAATTACAGATCCTATCATGTGAAAATAATATATATACATATTAATTCGTAGGTACTATATACTTGTACGTACATCCTTAAGTACCAGCTAGATCTATTCTTCACAAGAGATCGGCACTGGGAAAGAACATTTCCCTCCATCCTCTACAGCTCTAAGGCTGGAGTATTTTTTAAGGTCCAAACACATCTACCAGAAAGAGTGATCACACTCATGATGATACAGACTATAATCTCTCTCAGCACAGTCCTTGCTCTTCTTCATCTCACTCCCTCATGCTGCTTTGCTGAAGAGTTTTCTGACACAGCTCGTACAAATCACATATTCCCACCAAATATGTTATCCTTCTCCTCTCTCAGGTGGATATGGCAATTTGTGCTCCGTGGGTATGAAAATACTGTGAAGTCGTCACAGAAATGCCAGGTGACATTTTAATTATTCCAATTACAAGCTTCACACAACTGTAGAAGAGTCATGGGTCACAAATTATTACTGGTCACAAGAAGAAATAAAGCTTCACTGTGTTTTCAGGAGTTGTACAGAAAGTCTTGGATAATTTATCAGAAAAATAACATAATTTACCTGATTTTTACAAGCTAATTGCTTTTAGCTGAACACAGTATTTCCTTAATCAGTTCTTACCTGAGCAAGTCTTCTTATCTGGATTCAGAGTGTATCCTTCATAGCAGTCACAGCTGTAGGATCCATCATTACTCAGACAGACTTGTGCACAATCATGCCTTCCAGGTGCACACATGTCCATGGCTGTGGTGAACCATGTTTTAGAAAAGAAACCCATAAATCCCTGCCAGACACTCAAGTGTTTTAAATGCTTCAACATTTAAAATATAATTAGAATTCAATTTAGGATTCAACCAGTGCCCTACTACATTATTATATTATGCTGCAGACAACTGAATTCAGTTACTAATTATTTAATGGAGGAGACAGATGTTGGGACTGCAATACATTACTATACCACATCTCACCCAATTCTGATTTTCATCAGCAATTCTAACAGTCCTGAATATCCCCAGTAAGGACGAAGCTGAAACACCATACTGAGATGAACAACAACCTGCCACGTGTCAAAGTAGAAGTTGCTTCTTGCAATATTAGCAGTAACTATGATGAATCCAAATTTAACTTCATACTTTCATCCATGAGCTGAAGGCAGGCACAAAAAGCCAGGCATGATATATAGAAATGCTATTAAATGGCAGTGACATAAAGCCTAGTGAGAAAAAAAACAAAAAAGCAGGCGCACTAGAAGATTATGTTCTCTCTTCAGAAATAAGTAGAGTGAAAACTTCAGTGAGAAGAATGCTTGTGCTCTCAAAGGAAAGGATGCACTTACCATTTATAAAACAGCTACCCTAAGGCTGGTGCTGCTCAAAACTTCTGGATTTAAAGAGTCCAGAGAAGTATTTGGGGGGGAAAAAAGTTTTTATAGTAGGTTAACTTTTCAGGGTGCCAATTCAAGGAGTAGGAAAAGAAGTGTAAGTGCCAGTGTAAGACTGGGGTTGCTATACAATAGAGCCCTGCACAACTTTGGAAGCAAAAGCAGCAAGCTGTAAAAAACCCTGAGTTTCAACAGGAGAGATGAAGAGGACATGGGAAAATCATCAGGTTTTAAGTTCTCTATGGACTAGTGGCACTCACTCTCCAGTGGAGACACAGTGCTGGTGGGCATCTCTGAAACAGGTTCATCCTCTCCCAGGGACTAAGTCACATTTATGAAGCACTGTGAAGACCATAAAATGGTAGGTAAGTGCCAAATTGCATTTTTTAATCAACATTTTAAAGAAAAAAAAGCAATTCTATTGTGATTGGAAGCACAAGGAAAGGCTACGGGTGAATTCCCATTTTAAGAGCTGATGTGTGTAAGAAATTTTTCAACTAGAAATAATGAGGACAACACACAGAAAACATGTCCATGTCTCCATGAGCTTCATATACTAAAGCAGCCTTTAATTCTTACCTGTGCATGTCGTTTTATCTGGATTCAGGGTGTAGCCTTCATAGCATTCACAGACATAGGATCCGTTGTTACTCACACAGATCTGATCACACTCATGCCTGCCAGGTGCACACACGTCCACAGCTGCAAGATGCATGTCAGAGAAACAATTCATTGTTAATAACAAGTAGTTTGGGACAGAGTGCTTATTCACATTTTCAAATAGATTTCAATTTGGAATTGGCTCAGAAATGGCAATAGTAATTGAAGGAATTAGAATAAGTGGTAGGAGAAAAAAAATTTATACAGTGTCTACTTCTGAAGACTTTGTTTTGGCACCTGGCCCTAATGACTGGATCTGTGGGCATAATAAAAAGGACGGTGATGGAATCGAACTACTTCTCACCATTACTTGCAGCAGACTTATTTATTATTTACTATTAGATTTATTATTGAAGATGATCCAGATGTTCACTATTTCAACAGAAGTACACACACAGCTTCTCAAATTCACATATGGTGTTAAAAAGGGAATTTTTTTCTAGTTGAACACATTTAGTGAAGGAGTAATACCTGAGCAGGTTCTCTTATCTGGATTCAGAGCGTAGCCTTCATAGCAATCACAGAGGTAGGATCCGCTGTTACTCACGCAGACCTGCTCGCAGTCATGGGTCCCAAGTGCACACACATTCACAGCTACAAAGGGCATTTACAGAAAAGATACTTCAGTCAGCCCAAAGGAAAGAAACAGTCATTAATAATTCATGCTTACAAAAGTACATCTTGGACTGTTTGCTGGATTAGTAGTAGTAAATGTCACTGCTGTGTCACTGTCACAAAAAGTTACAGGCACCTCTTGCATCATTCTGTAGCCAGAAGAAAGAGGTCATAAGTGACACTGGAACAACTGCACTGAAATAACTCACCACCTGGGGTGGCAGAAAGACAAGATGAATTGAAAAGCGTGCAACAGGGTGTGATTTTAAGCATTTAGTAGCATTAGACTGGAAATGAGAACTCAGCAACAAAAACGACCTTCTGGCTTTTTGTATCCAGTCTCTTTCTATTACAGACAACCATCCCAAAATGTATCAGTCACTGTCTGGCAGCTTAGTAACTTCTGCTCACTGGCATACAACCTGATTTCTGCTGCACTGTAAAAAACTCCCATGTAAACTGAAATGCAACAGAAAGCAAAATAAAATAAAATAAACTGCAACAAAAAGAGCATCAAGACCGGAGGAAGAGAAAAATGACTCAGAGGCACTGGGATAATACACTGCCTTCTCATGGATGAAAAGAGTGACTGATGGCCCAGATGTATCAGCCAGCAAAAAACCCACCAGTGCAAGATGGGTATGTGAGGGCTGCAGCTGCCTTGATCCATCAGATTTAAAAAGTCAAGACCAAAAGAGGATATGGAGGAAAGTTTCTACAGTTAAGGTAGCTTTACAGGCACATGAACCTCCTAACTGGATGGATGGCAGCTGATACCAGTGTGCTGTCGTGCCAGGACAGACAAAACGGCTGTTGTAACGCTGCGCTGTCTGCAGTGCACTGTGTCTGCTGACAGTCTTTTCCTTCGCAGATGGTGTAACTACATAACTAATTAACTTCTGCCCAGTTTTCCTCAAGTTCATTTAATGCTGCTTCTCCGGTCACCTCAAGATGCCCCTGTTTCTCTCCACAGACTGTAAAGGAAACCTAGATACTCGCTTAAACTTAGATGATTTTTAGATGACTAAATTTAGATGAGGGGAAAAAGGGGGAGAAAAAAAAAGGTGGAGGAAAAGAAGGCGGAAAGGAAGGAAAGAAGGAAGAAGGAAATGAAAGGGGAAAGGATAAGAATGGGAAGACAAGTCTGTTACTACCTGAGATTTTACTTAGATGAGTAGTTACCCACAAAGAGTGGGTATGGACTACTGGTAAAATCAAACTCCAAAACAACAGTAGTGAGACAAGAAATGAGAAGCAAGCATGCATGAATCTTATCATGTGTTTCTGCATGCAAGGCAACATTTCCCAAAAACACGGAAGATTTAGATGTCCCCTAATAAGGCTGATAGAAAGCGTGTCTTGTCTTTCCGTTAGTAAAAACAAATCTCAAACAAAGACAACATCTTTTCACTCTGTTACTTCCTTGGGAATAAGAAAATTCATCACCATGACTTATGAATAAAATCTGTGGGTGATATTTTTAAGCATAACTGAGAAGCTCAGGCTCAAATGGTCAGATTTTTGCGGTAGGAAAGTCAAGTCTCCACTGACTTGGACATCAATTCAAGGCTATTTTCCATCTCCAGGATGGTCTCATGTTGAATGATGCTCTCAATGCATCAAGAACTTGATCTTAGCCAACTATTTTGCCCCTGAACATTAGTTTTCCTGTTTTCAGTTCACCTTACAAACAAATTTATTTGCCTTGGCCAAAGCAAAGAAAATCCTAATTGTCACTGGTGAGTCTAGATTTCTGACCAAAAAGCAGTCTGGAGATGGAAAAGACCCAGTTTACCCACACTATCTTACAAGACACTCTTAGATTCATTTGGTTTTGTAGGAACCTTTTTTAAAACTACTCCCTTTACCCCGTTCTTGTTCATGAATCCCACAGACTGCCTAATTGCACGAGGGCAATTCAGAGTTACACTGGAAGTGTGTATGTGTGAGCTCTCTTTGGTTTATCCTCCAGCTTAGTAGGTGCTGGAGGATATTTTTTTTTCTACGCTTCAGCATGATAAACAGTAAGTTTACTCTTAAGAACAAGAGATTTTTCTTTGGTGCTATGAAAGGACCTGCTTTAGTGAGAACATGGGTGGAAAAGTAGTGCTATGTTCACAGCACACATACCTGTCCAGCTAGGTGGGCACTCGTACCCACTTCCAGCTACCAGAGAGAGAGGGTCTGGTCACATCAGCAACACAACATGATGTCAAGCCAAACCTCAAGGCATTTCCTATGTTAATAATTAGGCAAAGTGTCCCATCTGTAGATGGTCCTACACATTTATTTCATACCTAGAAAAAGAGGTCAATTCACTCTAAACGTATTCGAAAGGTAAGGTGGTAATTTTTAGTAAGGCTCTGAGATAATAAAGTAATAGGTTGCCAACCAAGTTCCCAAGGCAATGGCTGTTATTTTAATTCCCTACAGTGTTCTTTACACCTGATTTTACCTGTTATTTACTGGAGACTTATTTTACAAGTAGTTTCTTTAGAAATTTACTAGAAACATTTACTTCATACAAGTTTTGTAACTGTCAAAAAGTCATCATTTGATTTTTGTGAGTAGGGCTGTGTCATAGCTATCTACAGTTCTAAATACTCCAGATAGATGACCTTTTTTTCTGCAAATGACAAAAACAACCCACATTGGCCTAGCACCGTTAGTGGAGTTCTAGCCCAACGCAAATATACATCCAGCATTTTTCCAAGACCAGCCCGGAAAGAGCAAAGCTAATTCAACCCATCCCACAGTTCCCTGTCAAAATCAAGTTGCAGAGAAACAGAGAAAGGTGTGAGTCTGGCACACTGAAAAAGCCCAGCAATGCCTGCAGACTGAAAGACCCTCCCAAGATGACCTGCTGTTGTGTTCGGGCACTTCATCCTCCATCAAATTTCTCAAGCTAGCACGGTGGTTCACCTGCCACACTGATTTTCCTACTCTGAATCTCTAAGGAGCCCTTCAGCACCACACTTCCACCCTCCTTGCTTCCCAGGGAGACAGGAAAAGAAACGAGCAGCCTGCACAGCTCCCGTGTGCGCTCTTGGTAAGTCGGTAAATACGCGTAGCCAAATCCTGGCCGGATTGCCATGCTTTCTCTTGCACTAAATTGGACCCACTGTGAGAGATGGTTCACTGAAATCAGGTCTGTTACTTACATAGTAAGGTCACTATCCAAAATGAAAGGTCATTACTTGGCCTCCACTGAATAAAAGGGTTGGGTGGTTTGCCCAACAGATGGCAAAGGAAATATTTAAATGTGATACATAACACTTCTGAAAAAGAAACACTGTCTTAGGGATGGAACCACAGTAGGAGCCAAAAGGAGCCAAATTACACCACCCTCTTGGACTATCCACCTTACCACAGAAAGTCTCTCTGAATTTGGATGTCAGCTTTTCGATCACGCCATAGGTCTCCACATAGAAGACGTGTTCATCCAGTGGTTCGCTGGCCATTATCCTCAGGGACTGCATGTCTGCCCGGTCTACCCCAACTGCATAGATCTCAATGCCAGCTGTCCGGGCGCTTGCTGCCACATCTTGAACCTGGTCTTGTGGCCGTCCATCTGTCACAACAATGACCACCTTGGGGATATTGAAGGCTGCTGGCCGGGTGCCCATTTCCTCAGTGAAGACTTCATCCATGGCAGTTTGGATGGCAAGGCCGGTCATTGTGCCGGCAGACAAGGGCTCAATGTGAGATATCGCCTCCTTCATAGATGCTTTATCAAAGTAGGTCCGGAGGGGAAACTCTACCTTGACAGTGCTAGCATAATTCATGACCGCCACACGGGTTGTTCTTTCACCAACGTCCAGAGTATCAATCATTTCCGACAAAAAGATTTTCACTTTCTCAAACTCTTCAGGTCGGACACTGCGGGAACTGTCTATGATGAAGACGAGGTCTAGGGGCCGGTTCTTGCAGGCAGTGTCTGTCAAGAAGGAAGGAGAACACTCCACTCATCTCCTACACAGGATCAGAGCGCTCACCCTAGGGCAGTGAGAGCTGTCACGGCACACTACTCCTGCCAGATAAATGTTGGCACTCTTGATTCTTTAGAAAGAGGCTTAAAATTATAGTGAGAAACACATTAGAAATTCTAAAATATTAATTCTGACAAGTAATAAATAATCGAACTTTTCTAAGCATCGATAGGTCCACATTTGAGCCCACAAAATCTAACTATCCTTGAAACAAAGGGTTGTAGTTCATATGTAACAGCCAATATAGAAATGTAGCGGTGATATATATACGCCCTTACTTTTAATTTTTATACAGATAGAGCATAAATTCCACTTTTATAAGCTACATAAATAAAATGGTAAAACAACTGGCTAAATTACACACTGAACAGATCCTAGCAATATTTTTTACTATAGTAACAGTATAGATTAGGAATTATTTCTTGTTTGTAATTCATAATCCAAAGTACACAAGAAGAAAGGCAGGCAAACAGGAACAAGATGCAAATTATGCTGCGATAAAGGATTCTTTAGAAGTTCTTACTGTTTTAGGGCTTCTAGAGCTGAGGAAAAAAGAGGAAATTATTTATGAAGTAATTTTACATCTAAAAATGAACATTTACACACGTATTTCTAGCTTCCAAAATTCTTCACTGACATATAAATCTAGACAGAAACAGAAAGATCAGACAAGCATCACTTCTAGGAAGACAAAAAATAATCAAGCCAGCGACAGCAGGCAACCTAAGCTTATGCTCTCTGTCCTGATAACCTGACCTGACATTGAAGATACCATGTACCAGTATGGATTTGTGCAGCTTGTTTATGAGAAACACGACAACCCAAAAGCAGAGTATGAGAAAGAGAAAGTCATTCTGGCTCACCAGCGCGTTAAATAGCAAAATAGTGTTGTTTGAATATGCTCCCTGAGAGCTGTTTTGGGAACCTGACACACCTCTCCCGGCTACTATCAAGTTCACATTTATCATTGTATTCCAGTTGAAATTAAAAAAAACCAAACAAACAAACAAAAACCACCCAACAAAAACACTAACAACAAAACTTCACAAGTCTCTTAAAAGTAGAGATGAAAACAGCACCTTTTTTTTTTTTTGATGCATTGAAAAACTTTTTCCTCTTGTGCAAGTGAAAAGGGAGAGGGGAAATCAAATTGCACAGATAGATCTTACTTCTATCAGGAAACACAGTAACAGAGTTGATTTTGCCTTTGGACAGTGATGGGACTGGATGAACCTAGGATCCCATCCAGGTACGTTACATACAATTCTACAGGCATCTCTAATTCAGTTTTTGCGTAACGATTTACAAGAATGGCTTTGTGCCCTTTGGGAAGCTGAGAACACACGAAGAAATGTTTGCGCAGGGACGCATAGCTTAAGACACGAAAGAAGAGAAGCAACGTTCGTCCTACAAAAAGAAAGACAAAATACAAGATTTGTAGGCAGAAGAATTCTCTTTTTTAGATTAAGAAAAAAAGCAACAACTTTTCAGCAGTCTGATCCTTCTGTGAACCTGAAACAGAGATGTTTCGAGAAACGAAGGCAGGGAGGGAAGAGCTGTGTCGGTTTCGGAGACCAGCAAGGCCGGCTTTGCGCTAAAAGCAGCAGCTGGTTCTCTGCCTACGAGCGAGCGGTCCCTGCAGGAGGCCCCCGGGCAGCACGTCCCCGTGCCCCCTCGCAGAGCCCGGCACGTCG